GCTTCTCAAAAAGGCATCAATGCAGTTGGTATCATATCTGCATTTTGCCAGCTAGTTCAATTGAATCCGAAAACAAAGGTAATGAATGGATAAACTTGGTATCCTAAAGGAAAAATTCTTAGTTATGAAGTAGCTAATAAGTTACCAACTTACCATCTACATTCAGAAGTTTAAGCATACAGAGATGGTTTTGGCACCAATAACTTTTTACTTTTTATATTCCTATTACCTTTAGTTGACCCAGAGATTGAATTAGAAAAGATCAGAACCAGTCCCCACGGTTACAATGATTGGACTTCATCGCACACCAGCGAACTTCTTATCAGGTAATTTCCATGGGAAAGGTATCCACCATGATGGTGAAATCATGTTCAACGCAGTCTATGGTAGATTAGGGTCTCAATTTACTAAATATATCAACAAAAATATCAACAATTTAAGCAATCAAAACTTTAATAAATCTTGTCTAGCTCGAAATTGTGAAAGGCTAGCATGTAATGCTTACAAATTAACTCTGCTAAACAGAAAATGGCCAAGAGGTTCCTCTAAGCAATAAACGACAAACAGAAGAAGAAAGAAAGAGAAATTTGAGATTTGCTTCAGCAAAAATGCTGCGAGACAAACAGCAGCAGTAGTCAGAACTCAGAACCTATTTGAAGATTGAAGAAGCTGAATCTCAAATTACCATGTATTGGAGCTTCGAAGTTCTTGGGGAGGTCCAATAATTATATCATGCAAAAATTAAAAGCAAGAGATTTGGGTTGAAGAAAGTCTTGTCTCTTACCAAGAAATCACTGTTGGCAAAATCAGCACCTCCATTGCTGGTAATGCCATCTTATATATATTGACAACAGAGCTTCTCACATTATCCGTTAATTTCTTTTGGTGATTGAGATAAACTTTTTTGTAACTCCAAAGCATGTTGGATGGCTGAGATTTGGAAGAATGCAGGATCATATCAGAAAGGTTCTACAGCTAAGCTCCTTAGGCAGCTTGTAACTGAGGTTAACAAGTTGTGGATGAATCTATTGTTATCTCAAGGTTCTTCAGAAAGTTGGTTTTCCCATGTTTTGAAAAGGCAAATTCTGATTCTAGTAGTATTTGTTTAAGGAATCATCAATGCTGGGAGGTCACACTAAAGGGTAGTTGCCCCATGCTAGGAGGTGGATGTCATATAAACAGGTGCGTATAAACATCATGTTTATTACATCTATCTCCACATATTTGATATAACAATAAAAATATACGAATTATCAAATATACTTAAAATCCTCTTTTAACCGATCAAGTTTACACACAATTATCAAAATTTGGCAAGATGTACCCAAGCTTCTTTCTTTTCCAAATAGAAAGGAGACATTGAACCCATAAAGATTTGAATTCGATGGACCAGTCAAAGGTTTTCAACCTCCAAACCAATCCAAGCAGCAGTACAATGATAGAGGGTCCTAGCCCACTTCCTTTCATTTCTCCCTTAATATCAACATTATCAGAGTCCTGTCGTTGAATCAAAGATCACTTGACACTTGCCAACCCTTCCAATTGATAGCTCCAATAAGCGTCAACCAACTTTTTTGTCACAAAAGTGATGATGACTGAAACGATATATACAATGAAAGCACTCAGATTCCATCAACGAAAAAAAAAATCAAGGGATGATATTGTCACCAATTTGAAAAAAGCAAAAAAAAAAAAAAAAAATTTGTGTGAAATTCACGGAATTCACACCACCACCTGGCTAGTTAATAAAAAATACATCAACAAAATACAAAAAAATATTATATGATAGATCTGATTATTCGTATGTTAGTGTAGTATAAAATAATAGTAATTCGTGTAATTCTATCGTGTTATATAAAAAAACTTACATATTATAATTCGTATGAATCTAAAAATACAAAATATTTTTTTTTGTGCTAAACTCATTTATAATTTTTATTAAAATTTTATACAAAATAACTTTCATATCTTTTTTGTATGGTTTGTATGTCTTGTCATTCTATTATATTTTAAATTATTAAGTATAAAATACCAGATCTTTAAGCAACATATTATTTTAAAAAATGAAGCTTAAAAGCCCAACATTGCCCGTTCTAATGTAGAAAATAAAAGGTGTTCGCCGAGACGTTGAAGAACAAGCTGTTTAACCGAGTTAACTGCCGATTACCACCCAAAATTGCAAAACAAACAGTTCTTTTCCAAAATTAGCCAAGCTAGAAGCAACTCTATAAAACAAACATGTAAATTATGACAAATATGAACAGAAAAGAAGGCGGTTATTGTAACCTGAAGAACGTTTGCGTACATTGATGAAGATTTATGGGCAACCATGATCCACCATTGGGCAGCTCTCAAGAACAGGGATGAGTTTCATTGTCATTGGGTTGTTCCAGGTTGGGCTTTAAGGCCCACTAAAACCCATTTTTTCGGTTTGGTTCCCTTAGGAACCTGGTTTTTCTACGGGCATTTCCTTGATAAAGTGGAAGACCAGACTTCCCCAGAGCTTGCTCGATTCAAGCCACATTTTTCGGGTCCAAGCTGGGCTTCCCCGTTGCTTTCATGTTTCAACTTTCCATAAAAAAAGCAAAGGTTTTTTTTTTCTTTTTTTTTTTTTAATTATTATTATTATTAAGTAATCAAACAAAAGCTTTTTATTGTTGTATCAATTAGAAATCTAATTTATTGAATTCGAGTTGATATAATATTAAATTTAAATTTAAATTTGAATTTAATTTTAAATATGAAATTTAAAATTCAAATTAAATTTGATCGAATTTTTTTAATTCAAATTTAACTCAATATAAAATTTAATTTATTCAAATTCATTCGATTAAATTTGATTAATATATAAAAATAAATTTAATTTTTATATTCGATAAAAATTATTATTTACATTTAAATTTAATTCGAAATATTTTAATAATTAAATATATTAAAATATAAAAATTTAATTAAACTCATGAATTATTCAAATTAAATATAAAAATATTTAAATTTAATTTAATCGATTAATCAAATTATTCAAACTTAAAATTTAATTTAATAATAATAAAATTAAAATTAAATTTTATTTAAATCAAATTCATATTCTTTATAAATATTAATATATTATTTAATTCTTAGTATTAATCAAATCGTTTTAACGGACCAAAACATTATTGCCGACCAAATGAAAATTCGTGGACGCACGTCCAGAATACGCTAAGTTACACGTCACGAACAACTTTCGTCTATCAAATTTTTATCAATCATTTTTAATACATTTTTATCACTGTCAAAATTTTTTATATTTTTTATACATTCATCGTCATCAATTATATAAACAATCTAATCATATAAATGAAAATTAAATTCTTAAATAAAGTAAAAATTGAAGGATTTTAAATTAAGATAATTTTTTTATTGCAGTAAAATTTTAAAAACACTATTTTAACCATCTTTGCATGCATATAGAGGAATTTGAGTTGGTAAGAATTAAATGAGCATAAAACTACTTCAAGGAAACAGTTTTTGGTAGTATGCATACCATATAAAACCAAAGTAAAATATAAATACAATCCTTTTTTTTTATTATTTTTAGTATGCAAAGATAGTGTCTGAATGGAGATTTTAACCTTAAAAGTTAAACCAAAATTTTTTTTATACAAATTAATTTATAGTTTGGAAATAAAAAAATTGTAAGTATTAATATTTTAATTTATTTAATATTATTTTTATAAATGATTATATGAATTAAATTTAAATTTTAAACCAAATTTTTTTAAAAAAGAGCAACTGTTGTTTAATTAAACTTGAATTGTTTTTTTATCCAAAAAAAAAAATGGAATTGTTTTTTATCATGGGTTTATTATTAAATATTGAAAAATCAAATCAATATCCTTTTAAAAATTAAAATATGAACAAAAAAATTAATCTTGTTTAGTGAAATTGATTAAGATAATATTTGAGTAATAAAATTTACAATTAATGCAATATCTTCTATTGAATTTTACGAAAATAATATTTTTTTCGTTTCAAAATATATTGTTATGTATTGATTTTGATAAAGTTTAAGAAAAAAATTTTGACTTTAATGTATTTAATGTTAAATTTTAAATTTTTTATAAAATTAAAGTTTCTTGATTTTTAATATCAAAAAATAAAAAATCATAAAATATAATTTAAAAATATAAAAAATAATAATTTTAAATATTCAAAAAAATATGACATAATTTTGGACAAAAAAATGAAATAAATGAAGTATATTTATATAAATTCTTTTAAAAATAATACTTTAACTAATCTAAACTATAATTAATATACATCCATTAAAAAATCCTACAAAAAATTTATACTAAAGCCTACTTAATTGGTGTATATATCAAAGGCTATGAATTCCTAGAAACCTCTATTTTATTTGGATCCCTCTTTTATTTATTTGGCCCAAAAATATAGTTCCTATACTAGAAATTATAAAAATAAAAACATAAAAATTTTGAGGGAATTACAAGGAGGGAAAAATTACCACATAAAAAAAAACAAAAACAAAAACCTTACCAATAATTTGGGAATTGGCAATGTTATAAACCCATTTGAAAAGTTAAAAATTAACCATGTTGTATTTAAATAAGAAATAGGAATAACACAAAATAAGATAACAAGTATATTTTAATTGTTACATTTTTTAAGAGTTTATATTTTATATAATATTTAATGTATAGATTTTATATATTATTAATAAATTAGATGATAATACTTTAATAATGAATAAATATAAATATTTAAAATAAAAATATATTTAAATTAAATTATTTTAAATATTTACTTATTAATGAAATATTATCATTTAATTTATCTCATTAATAAGTTATTATCGTCTTATTTATTTATAGTGTATAAAATTTAATAATATATTAAATATAAATTTATTTTAAAAAATAAGAAATTTATTTGGAAAATAGAAAATGGAAAACCAATTACAACGCACCACGCAATCCAATCGTGGTCAGGACCAATCAGAGCGAAGTCGATGACGCTAAGCCCGGGAGCCCTTCAGCTCTATTTGTAGCGTACGAAATAGTTGACTTTTTTTGTTGAAAGAGCCGGATATTTTTGCGAGAAAGGGTGGGTGAGAAAGAGAGAACTCGCCGGAAAGAGGGAAGAATACGCCTGAAATTTTCCTACGGTTACTCGCTTTAATCGTCTCCGGCAATCTGATCTCTCAGTCAACATGGTAATTTTATTTTATTTTATTTTATTTTTTCTAAAAAAAGTTTTTTTAATCATTAGTTTCCGGTTTTCACATGTATCTCATTAATCTGCTTTTTTACTTTTTTCTTGATCTACTTGTATTTGAATCGATCTGATCTATAATTCCTTCTTTTTTTATTTTCCGTCCATTTATCTTTGTAATCCGCCTGGAAAGAATCGGTTGTAGATTTCATAGATTTGATAAGGAATCAAAAGCTCTGTAGATCTCGATATATCAGATTTATCAATATAGAACTGTTGACATATGACCCAATGCAAATAGTTTGAATTCTCCTTTTCAAGTTAATAAATTGATTAAAAAAAACCAGTGTTTTTCTTATGGATCTTGTATAAATCTTAAAATCCGTCACCAGAAAAAAGAAAAAAACAAATTTCCTTTATGTGATTGGTGAAAATTACTATTTTTTTTAACAAAATTATCCAATTTTAAGTAGTGATCCCTTGTTCTGGTTTGTACAGACAACATCAAGGCGCCTTGCAGGCAGGAAGGTGGAGAAGTTCGAGAAGAACATAACAAAGAGAGGAGCTGTGCCTGAAACAACCACAAAGAAGGGGAAGGATTATTCTGTCGGCCCTGTGCTGCTTGGGTTCTTTGTATTCGTTGTCATTGGATCATGTAAGATTCTTGGCAGCTAATCCTTTCACCATCACATTTCTTTAGATATTCCATGTTGACTTTTTCATATAGCAAATACAAGACATGGGTTTTGCAATAATATGGTCAGCACATCCTTGATAATATCGATATGAATTCATGATGTACTCTGTAATGTGTATTGTTTCTTCTGTGAAAAGTCTAATTTGTTTAGTTTTTCTTCTTGTTGGTTTCTTTTATTATGAATGAGTTTGGATCTTATAGATCTTAAGCATGATATGTGCTGCTCCTGTATCCTTGAGCTTTCACCGGGTTCATCCATTCTATGTTTGTGTTATGATCACGGGTTGTACTCTTCAAGGGTACTGCTTAAAACACCTATAATTACTCTTTAGAATCTAGCAATATTCCCAGCAGGGATAGTTGGTAAATAAAGTTTTCTGCTTATCCCCTCACCTTGCATGATTTACTGATCAAATTCTGTTCATTATCTGTAACAGCTCTGTTCCAGATTATCAGGACAGCGACCAGCGGGGGAATGGCATAAGTCTGCATCATCCATGTCAAGAAATGGCAGAGGAGACTTTTGTAGGGAACTGATGATACATTTACTAGATATGCTTACTCAAGTTGTGAAGTATGCAGAATTTGAATAAGACCAACGCATCTTGTCTCTTAGTTCTATTTTATATGTTACTTTTTGCCTGTTTCATTTATGAATGAATGAGATAGGCTAAAAGCATTCATTAAAATCCTCTTTATTCTCACTGTGTGATGTTATTAAACGAACTGATTCACCAGATAATGGTGTTTAATGTCAGCACTAGTTATGGTTTAGAGTTTAAGGTGGAGATATACAATAATCTATTTCATGGTATTTGGTTAAATTGAACTAAGAAATTTGCATCAACATTTTCGTACAAGTTTTGTATAATCAATTGGTTGCTAACCTCGTTCATGGAGGTTTTAGTTTCTAAGATTGGATGTCCAATGATGTTGTAACGTGAGCCATTGATATTAATTCTATCCAACTTCATCTGGGCTCTTGATGGTAATGCTAGGTTCCTTGTGCAGTTAAAACTGATTTGCAGCCACTACTTTTAGGTAGTATTTGATACTATCTTGGTAATTCTAAGAGTAATGTTATTATCAAAGTGATCTTAAAACATTTATGATGTAAAATTACTTTATTTGATTAACAATAACACTTGTGATTTGAAATAATTTTATTTAATTAATAATAATTCATTCTTAAGAATTAAAGATAATTGTGTTTGGTATTATTAAAAATCAAATGTTATTTTGTTAAAAATCAAATATTATTTTGTTTAAAATACAAAAATAATTACGGATATTGTAATAATTATACAAATTAATAATTTTAGAAATTCTTTAAAGATAAAAATTTATAACATTAATAATATTTATTTATTTTATAATAAAATATTATTAATTATTAATTAATAAATATACTTATTGATAGGTAAATTAATTTTTGTAATATAAATTATGTGAAAAATATTTGTTAGAAAATAAAATCAACTTATTAAATTCATAATAAAAGAAAAACAAAAATATTATATTATATAAAATTTTAAAAACAAAAATGGTACACATTATTTTTAAATTTGTTATAATGAATATTAGTTTGAAAATATAAAAACTTATGATATAAAATAATTAAAACTTTTAGATGTAACTAAGTTTTTAATTCACATATTAAATAAATAAAATTAACTGTACATATCACTTCACTTTGATAATAAAAATTTTTACTTAAGAATTAGATCATCTTCCAAAGTAATGATTTGATTTTTCTTAATAATCCAAGATTATCACAAGTGCTTATAAAATATTATGATCTAATCATTTTGTTTAAATTATTATAAATTTTGAAATGATAACCTTATATCAAATACAATCTTTTAAGTCTTAAGAGAAGAGTAAGTTGGGCAAAAAAAAAAAAAAAGGATAATATTTCACTTAAAATTATTTTTATTATAAGCTTATCTAATTACAATAAAGAATTACATAGAAATTCACAATGTAGGCTAGATATAAAATTTTGATGAATTTTATATAATTCTAAATTATAATTAATTGATTATGCTAAAAATAATTATAAGTAATATCTTCTCGAAAAAGTGACTAAGGAGGGGTTCTTTGGGCGTGTTACTGGATCTCGTGATCAAAAACAGTAGCCTGACAGAGATTTCCACAATCTTTGTACTAATGCTGCTAGGCCAACCAAATATATTAGAACAAAAACTCTGTTGAGTATTAATCCATCAAAATTCAAGAGGCAATTAACCACTCAATTCTTCGTGTTTTATCTTAATTCAACATAATTAAACAGTCTTAACAGAGCTTGTGCACTTAAAGAAGTGTCTTATGAAACTAGAGTTATTCATCCACATGTTTGTACAAAAAAAATAAAATAAAATAAAGAAAATGTACATTCCTGTTACTCCATTAAAACAATAAAGAAAACCCGGAGGAAGACGAAGTAGCAGCGAAAGCTTGTTAGCAGCCAAGCGTAAACAGTCTGGCAAATTCAGAAAAATAGGAAAATCCTTCCTTGACAAGCCAGTGCTGCCAGAAACACAAAGAAGGGTTGGAAATCAAGCAGTAGCAGTGAGGCATGGGTGAAATGCAGTACCACATGCTATCCACTGTCGCTTTCTCCCCCGTGGCACAACACATCCTGGAACCTTCAACCATTCCCTGCTCATCACATTGTATGTAACTAATCGGTTCATTTGTCTTGATCTCATTGACAACATGAGCAAACCTTGGTTGCCCAAGCAAGTCATTCTAACGTGCTTCCCGTAAAACTCTAAGCACCATATGTTTGGCATTCTGTCAACCTCCTTCCACAAGAGTGTCATCTTCTGCAGTTCCCATATGCAGACACAAGTAGCAGCATTTTTTGTCAGCAATCCCACAAGCATGATCCTGCCCTCATACTCTGCAAGTGTGAGGTCACTCAAATGTGGTGGAGCTGGGATAATAAATTGCTTCCATGCCCCAGTAACCATATTGTAGGACACAATCCCTTCAGGGTCTGACCGCATGAAGTAAACTGTGCTATCAATGGAAACTGCTTGTGACCGAAAGTTCAGTGATAGTGGCAGCTTAATGTTTGAGGGCATGCTTCCTGGTCGACTCCATGAATTCTTCACCGAGTCATAAACTTCATACTCTCCATCACACCCCACCCACAGAATCTTGTAGCCTCCACTGGTTGAATTTCCATTCAAAGTCATTCCCACAGCAACACGTGACCACACTTTAACCGACCTAGCTGGCAACTCTTTAAATGACCGAGTCAAAGGGTTGCAGACATAGAAGTTCCTATGACCAATATCAAGAAAGCAAACTAGACCACCTGCAGATGCAACTGGCAGAGCAATCATCTTTGCTGGCAGAAAAGAGATTGTTGGATGATGCCATTTCCTCATGGAAGGGTCATACATGGCTCCAACATTCATATTTTCATGAGTAATGGTGTAGAACCAGGGACTGGCTTGTGGGATTTCAGCACAATGCTGAGAAAAACTTTGTGAGTCCAGCAAGGAATTCCATTTATGGCAAACTGAGCGGAAGCGGAAGAATGTGGCTATGGGAAGTCTAGCAATGACAGCTTCAAAAAGGTCTTCAGGGAATTCTTTCCAAATTTCTTGTTCCATAACCTCAGGTATATGGGTACTTCCAGGTAATTTCCCTCGGTTTCGCTCCTTTCGTGATTTCTTGCTTGTTGGAGGCTTGAAAGGTTCCAACATCTTACAGTTTCCAGATATCCCAGCAGCCATTACGAGACTGTAGTAATCGTCTGCAGAAGTATCATCAATATTGGGCAAGCACCACCTGTATGAAAGTTGACATGAGTTAGTCATGTTTCCTACTTTCTACTTGAACTTGAAATAATGTGAATGACTACTAGATAACTACAAAATATTTTAGATCATTCAGCATAAACATGTTTAAATCTTTAGAAGTGCCAATTGCACCACTAAGCACATCATGATTCACATGGTATATATCTAAAGTTATTATGATCTGTTAAATTTATGCAGGCCTAAAGAGATAGTTCATCAACTTTCCTCATCATCTTATTGATCAATAGATGCAGCAAATTCACCTAATTCCCAATCTTTCCCATCAGCCAAGTTTATACATAAAAAAAAATTAGTGCACAGTACAGAGAGAATAAGGTCAGCACTGCAGTCTGTAAATTGATCAAAAACCAAAGAATCTTAGAAAAATTATTGGGACGAAATAAGAATACAAATTATAGTAGAAAATTAACCACATGGTATAAAAGTATTTGCATCCAATATAACATGGTTGGAATCAAATTTCAAATTGCATACGTTCTCTTTGCCCTTCACATGCAAGCTAACCATTCTGCCAAGCAGCAACTAGGACAGACCTATCAGCGACTAATTGAATTTACAAAAAAACTAATGTAATACATCCTTCCATTACCCACAAATCAACACCAAAAAAAATGTTTTACTGACAAAGCCTAGTTTCTGCACAGCAACTCATTTCATAGGTAACCTATAGACTAATGCGAGAGATTATAACCAAATTTAGTACATGATCATACAAGTAACTAGCAATCCATCTAGATTTCAACATTCACCTCAACTTTGAACTTTGATCATCCAACCTGTCACCTGATTTCAGTTAAGGCCCTATGCTGGGTAAATATCTTTATTGCCATTTTTTAATAAAATAAGGCTAAGCCCAAGCAAAACTATTATGCCACAAGCTTTGTATGCTCAAGCCATGATATAAAATCACATTTCCAAACAAGTAAAATGCACCTCAACATCTCCATGATAACGCACGCAAAACACACCTTAACATTTTCGTTACTGGCCTTTACCTAAAATTTTCATTAAAAGGAAGCCTCAAAATGCACCTTAGCAAGATAGATCTTGACCAGCTAACATTTTCATTAGAAAAGAACCTCAAAATGAACCTTACAAATATTGATCTAGAACAATTATGGAAATTCCCTCTACCACTAATAGTTGGACTATGTGGATCCAAGACACCTATCCTAGTTATAACATATACTAACATTTCATGATTAACAGATGAAGGAAGATATATGAACCCTAGAGATAATGATTTTGACCAACTTTGCAAATTGCCTTCACCACTAATATTTAGATTATGTGGATACAAGATGCCTATACTTGTCATAACATACACTGCATGGTTACCAGATAAAACAAGATATACTTGAAATATAACAGGTACTGGCTCTTCGTCCTTTGAATTTTAAGAATAGCATCCCTGATAAGCCTACTGCAATCTCTAATAACTAATCATTGTACAAATGTAAGCTCCTTTAGGAGTTGAAATTTTTGCTCAAATTTGAAGCGAAACATCAAGGACAGGTATGCGAGGTCTAGACCTTCAACTCAGTTGCATCACAATCACCAACATAATATTTATAGTACTCATCAGAGTTTGTAATAAATGAGTAATGGATGAAACAAATATAGAAGGCAAATTTACAATTGGACCATGACAAAGCTACCTACCTAATTAGGTACACATAATTATCCCAATTCATTGTGATTGCTTTCGCTAGTCAGTCTGTATCTTTTAGTCATTTTTGGATCCAGAATATGTGCAACTGGCTGTTTATGGTATCTTGTGAAAGAGCCCAAACTCAAAAGATTGCAAAGCCAAAGACCTCTATTCTTCCAGCTATTCAACTACATGCACTATTAAAATAAAATTTTAACTATGTGCTCAGTTACATTGCCAAGAATTCTTCTGCATAAAGCATACGTATGCAGGAATATAGGGAGAGAGATACCTAATGTGGAATATCAACAAGGGAACTCAGTAACGGCAAAATGAGCATGGACAAGCCAAGCATTATGAATTAACCAAGGAGCTAGTCCGCTTGACATTCATTTGTAAAATCCGAAGTTTTTAAGGAGACCTTGACACGAGCAAAGTCCAACAACTCTTTGTTAATCGAAATCATATAGATTTTGTTGAATTACTATTTAACTTTCTTTTTTTCTTGCCATTTGGTAAGGAAAAAGAAAATGAGCAAAGCTGATTAGTCAAGAATTATAGGTTTAAGCCCAGATTTTCTCAGAAAATCATAGAGCAAGTAGTTAATACATAAGATTCCATATTCATAGTCAACCATAATCACAAACTAATAAACCAAGAAGAGATATTCAAGTAGTATCATTTATCAAAAGGCAATGGCCAACAAGTTCAAAGTTGACCATGACAAGATGTGAAAAACAGCATCAACCTCCAGTAAAGAAGAGGGAACAAAAAAAGAAAAAACTGAAAATCGTAAAAGGGGAAAAGGAAAACAAAAGCAAAAAGGAGTAAAAGAGAATCTCCATGATTGGAATACGTTGAAGGAATAATGGTGAAAACTTAAGAATTGTACAACTCAATAATTTTTTTGTACAAAATAGTACAAAATTGGGTAAATAATGAAATAAATGCCCCCAAAATTTTCTAATGTGGTAAACATGCGGAAACCCCTGAAAAAGAAAATTTGACAGAAAAACACGACAGTGGCATAACGGCAATTAGACAAAAATCCCGACCAACAAGAAATGCAAGGAAAGAAACTAGCATTGGATAAAGATAGGAAAACAAGATAACCTACCACTAAATCACATAAGTATTATCCCCAAGAGAAAGAACCGAGAAATGACAGAATCCGAGAGGGAAAAACAAAACAAAACAAAATTTGAAATGAGAGAGAGAGAGAGAAATGTGAGGTGAGAGAGCAAGGAGAAAAAATTGAAGAGATCTATGTAAAGAGATAAGAGGAAAGGAAAGGAAAGGAACCTGCGGTGGTGGTCGTCGGGGGGATGGTGAAAGTGAAGAAGGTGAAAAGGAGAGGGAGGAGGAGGAGGAGAGCCGTAGAGTTGCAAGAGCCCTTGAAGCTGACCGATGAGCTGCCTGAGCATGGCCAGGCCTTCCATGCCCCAATAGCCCCTCAACAACAACAACAACAAAAAATATATATGAAATTAACTTTTCCTTTCTTTTGACTCTCTCGTTGCCAAACAAACAACCCTCCCTTTTTTTTTTTAATTTTTTCTATGTCTTTCTCTATCGAAATGCTGCTTTCTTTCTTTATCTCCCTTTTCTGTGAGTTAGCCAGTCATCTATTTCCACTTCAGCTGGACCATTGCGACAATTTCTTGCAATTATTCTGAGCCGCACGCAACTTTTGTCACTGTAATGATCCCACTTGAATTTTACTCGAGTATCTATCTTTCCTTCTTTTCCACTTTTGCCCTTTCCTTTTTTTTATTTTTGCTTTCTTAGTCCTCTTTCTTTACTTTTTTTTTTTGAATTTATGTCTTTTTTTTTATAATTTAGATTATAAAAATTAAATTTTGATTATTAAAAGATAAAATATATAATTAATCACCTAATTATATGAATGTTTTTAAAATAATCACTTAATTATTAATTTTTTTAATTTAATCACTTAAATTTAAATAATTTTTTTTAATTATTAATCTTTAATAATATATTGATGTTACACGATCACATCAACAATTATGTCAAATAACATATTAATAATTAACATAAAAATGATATAATAATATTATATGATATTTGATAGTTGACATGATAATTTTTTATTAATACATCATTAAAGATTAATGATTGAATAAAAAATTATTTACTTAAATTTAAGTAATTAAATAAAAACATTAATAGTTAAATAACTATTTCAAAAATATGCATATATTTGAGTGACTAGTAATTTATTTTATTTTTAAAATGATAAAATATACAATTAAAATTAATATTTTAGCATTTTATCAGTAAATAATATAATTGTTAATAATTTATGCCAATTTTCAATTAAAATTAATATTTTAGCATTTTATCAGTAAATAATATAATTGTTAATAATTTATGCCAATTTTAATTAAGTACTTCCCTATTATTTCTAATGAAAAAAGAAAAATCAAAAATCAAATTTAGGGTAGAAATGCACTTGGATATTTTATATTTGTCATAATGGTAAGACGCATGTATACTTAAAGAATCAAAATTAAATCTTTTTATTATTTTAAAAATTCACATTTTTTATAAAAAAAAAATTAAAGTGGAATTGGAAACTTCTATGCAGTCTTCAAGTATCAAAGAGGTCCTGCAATGATCACTAAGAATTTTATAATCATTAACATAAATCATGAAAAAAAAAAAAATAGTACAAGAATATTTTACTTGCAATTCTTTTTGTAATACTCTTGCAATTATCAAATCATAATAAAAAAAATTATGTAAAATTTTATTACTTATAAATGTGGGTTTCACATAATATTTTGATGGACCTTATATAATTCTAAATTATAATTTATTAATTATACAATTATTATAGGTAATATATTCCCTATATAAAAAAGTAAATTTGAATATTTTAAACCAATTTTATCTATAAATAAATGAGTTTGAAAATTCAAAATTAAGTTAACATTTTTTATTAATAATTTCATTTATGAATAAAACATATATTTTTAAATTTTTTAATCTACTCATAACCCCTAATTAATATATTTATTTATATATTTAATTAAAAAAATATTACACGTCTAAATTCATTCGTTCTCACAAGTTTTAGTGCCAGTAGTATACCTCGTTCAAATGATCCAAAATCATATATTTTTACCAATTGGGTCATCAGTATAAGCGGTTCCAACAGGATTTATATTTATACATTAACAATAAATATTATCTCCAGAAAATAAAATTTGCTTACTGTAACCTAACTTAGTTTTCATTTTCTAGACCAGAAGTCATGGAAAAAAATTAAATAAATTCAAAGTCAATTTGAAAATTAAAAACTTTAAGCAAAAAATGAAAATTTCCCACAAACAAATATTTTTTCGTCATTTTTACAAGAGTAGGGGAGAAGGGCATTGAAGTAAAATAATAATAATAATAATAATGAATCCAAAACTTAATTGGATCATCGTAAAAGTAGGAGGGGAGATGTATTGAAGTAAAAAATGAATAAATAAATTCAAATTTTAACTGATTCATTTAATTATTTTTAAATATAATATTTAATAATTATAAAATTCATATCTCAATCAAATTTGTTAATATTATACTTGATAATATTTTTTTAAATAATATATATTGATATTAGTTAATTTTACATATTATTTTAAAATTTTTTATTAATATAAATATACATGAATTTATATATAATAATATTGCTAATAATTTACAAAATAAAATGTAATATCACCCTAAAATCAAATAAATAAGTTTAAAAGTATAAAAAAATAGTATCATCAATTTATCATGATATTTTTAAATTTTTAATCTGATCATATAATATTTAAATAAATATTTTTTTCATATAAGTATTAAGATAAAAACAAAAATGAGAAAAAAATTAGGAAAAGAATCAGCTTAAACTAATGTAAAATTTTTTAGTTTTATATATTTTTTAATTATTAATTTTAATAAATTTAATGAATGAAAAAGATAAATAAAAAATAATTTTTTTTTAATTTTATCCTTTTAATCTATTTAAATTAATGATTAAAAATATATAGGAGTATAAATTTTTTTTTGTAACTTCATTTCTTTCCAAAAATTAATTTTGATTTCATAATTATTAAACTTTAGAGAAAAAAAAAACAATTACTTTTTAAAAGAATTTGAAATGTTTATAAATATTAATTTAAAAAATAAACGAAATTATAGGGATTAATATTCAACCCTTAAAAATCAAACGGGTGTTGCTGTTTTGGATATATATGATTCCCTCGACAAAGCGGAATTTTTTCCTTTATAGTTTTAGTTTTAGAGTCAGAGCTACCACGTGTGTTAAGTGTGGTAAGCTTAGGCTTATTATGGTCTAAATGACCTTTTCTGAACCAATCTTTGGCTTTTACGAAATGGAACGGCTGAGATCAGATCTCCTCGAGGCACTTTCTCTCTCACTCGCTTATTCTTTCCACGCACATGGCATGATTGTCCCCAACCGCTTTTCTCATTCTATGATGATTTTGTTTGATTTACGGAAGTACTCACTCGATTTTGATATTGATACCCTTCTTCTTCCTCCCCACTCTCATCCCTCTCAAATTACATATTTGCCCTCTATTTGTTTTAAATAATTAGTTTTTTTTTTCAAAATTTGTTTAAAAAATTGCAACTTGACCGCCCATAATTTTGAAAACCTAAAGCATAAAGTTAATTAAGTATAAATATTTAAATTTTATTCTTGTTATCAATAATTTTTTTAATTTTTAATTTAATATAATTCTTATTAAAATTTACGGTTTGAGATGGGATAATTTTTTTTAATTTTTCTTTAAAAAATATAAAGTAGAAGCAAAAGCAGTGGTTTGAACATTTGAACCGCCAATTATCAAGGTTAGTTTTTGGTTATCAATACTCAAACTCCGTTTGACTATGATTGGCGGGTAATAATAATAATCATGGAAAAACTGCCAATTGAAAAAGTTTGGTGGACACGTGGTTAGGTACTATTGGTCATTGTCGATCATTAAGGTGACAGATGCGTCACCCAGAAGCCTCCACGTTTCGTATTTCCTTAGAAAAATGTAGAAACAGTTGTGGTTTCAGTGTCAAAAATGATGAAAACCCAAGGCCGAAAGTCACGCGGCAAAAGACGATCGATGTTTGCTTCAACGTAGAACTTGGAACATTAAAAAAAAAGGGATGTGAAGGGGAGAGGGTAAATTAAATTTAAGGTAACAGGGAAGGGATTTAGAAACGATAATGATTAGGGTTGTCCAAAAACCAAGGGTAGGGTATGGGACGGCGGAGTGTTATCATTTCAACTGCTCTAGGGAAAGGGAAGGGGAACACAAAGTTCTTTTCTTTCTTTTTGTTATTTTGATTTTGGTAGGTATGTGTATCATTATGGCTCATGATGTTCATCATCATGACTCCTTTCTTTTACGTTTGCATTTCTTTTACTCGTATGTTTTTCTTGCTTTTTTTTTTTTTTTGAACAGTATTACTTACATTTGGTCCCAAAGGGCTTTTGACTGAATCATATATATATATATATATATATATAATATAAGTATGCTGGCAAATAATTATGACTTCAAAAACAAAGTTAGGTACTAAAGTTTCTTTGTTTCTCCAATTTTATAAAATTGTAAACTGAATTGACGTCCAAAATAAAAATAAAACTCTCTCTTCCAATCAGACGTTATTTGGATATTATTTTTTGGATTTTATTAATAAATGTTTTTAAAATATTTTTTGGATTTTGAGGAAAAAATCAAGAAATCCTCCAATTTTGGCAAATAATTGTATTTCTAGCCTTTGCTTCTGACAATTGTTTTGATATATTTTCAGTAATTGTTAAAAAAATTTTATGTTTTCATCTTTAATTATTTTTCTCCATTTTTTTTTACTAGCAATTAACTTCCCGCAATACGGGGCGGCAAAATACCTTGCGAGGGTTGTTTGGGTTACAGATATAGTTATGGTTGCACTGTATATGGATCCACTTCTAATGGGTCGACAAATTGTCGTTCGACAAACAGCCCAAATTAGGCATCTCAGCCAGCCCCAAAATAAGAAACTGGCTGAAGATTAGGATGCTCCTCAATTTTATGGTAACCCAGTGCCAAGGTTCATGCACATATACTCATGGCAATATTCTGAGATTGTCTCCTTGCCGCTCACAAGTCACAATGCCATGCACGGGACATTCATTTATAGAGCAGTACTGGCCAGTCTCATCACTGCAAATCCTTGTACCAACTATGGAAAGTCCAACTCCAATTCAACATTCAGAAGATAATGGAGAATTAAATATTTTCCGCCAGTTCCAGTGCCTGATAACTTGACGCTGCCAGAATTTGTTCTCCAGGATGCTGAATTATATGCTGACAGGGTGTCCGGAAAAGCTTATACTTATCGGCTATGGCGATGTGATTAGGGACACAGGGAGATTTGGGAAGGCCTTGAGGTTGCTTGGCCTCAGGAAAGGCCACGTAGTTCTGGCACTACTCCCCCATATTGCAGAGTATGGCATTGTTGCTCCTGGAATCATGGCTGCTGGGGGTGTTTTCTCAGGTTCAAACCCAGCGTCACACCCATTAGGAATAAAGAAACAAGCAGATGCTGCAAATGCCAAGTTGGTAGTAACAAATGACCCAAACTATGAAAAGGTGATGAAATAGATGCCTCCATTGTTGTTTAAAATAGCTACTTCCAATGAAATGATGATTTTAATTTGTGGTTTAGTACTTGCATCAATACTAGCTGCTGTCTTCATGCAATTTTGGTTTAGCATCCTTGATTGAACCAGTGACTAGATCTTTTGAAAAATAAACAAATTGAATATCTCAATGACTTATCTGATCTGCAATATCACTTTTTAATATCTTACTTTTTTCTTGGCTTATTTTAGAAAACTGATTCCAAATCTTTAATTGGTGAAAACAAAGAAAGATAACAAACTCTGCATTCTATGATCTAGTTAAATTAACCATCAGCTTGAAAGAACAGGTGAAAGGTCTGGAGGAGACATTGAAGGTGCCCTGAGGACTGAATTGGGACGAGCTGCTCGAAGCAGGGGACAGCGCCGGAGCAGGCACCAGGTTTAGTAAGGAGGAACTTCTCCAGAGTGATCTATATGCCCTTCCATTCTCACCGGGTACCACAGGGGTTTCTAAGGGTGTAATGCTGAGCCATAGAAATTTAGTGGCTAATCTATGCTCCTCTCTCTTCGGTGTAGGAGCAGAGATGATAGGTCAGGCCACCACATTAGGCCAAATTCCTTTGTTTCAAATATATGGGATCACTGGAATCTGCTGTGCCACGCTTAGGATCAAAGGGAAAGTGGTGATGATGAACAAGTTTGATCTTAGGACATTCCTGAATGCATTGATCACTCAGGGCTATTATGACAGCAGAAGCTCCACTAGCCCCAGAGCTTCTTTCCGCTTTTCAAACAAGTTCCCTGGTTTTGAGGTCTAAGAGGTGAGCAATGCCCCTTTTGGTCAGCTGAATTTTATGCTTTACCTTATATTGCTATACTTACATCTGTTCAATCTTTTTGCTACTAGGCATATGGACTAACTGAGCATAGCTGCATCACACTCACCCATGGAGACCCTATTAAAGGCCATGGCATTGCAAAGAAAAACTCAGTTGGGTTTTATTCTTCCTAATTGAGAGATCAAGTTCATTGATCCTGACACCCGTCGATCTCTTCCTGAGAGTACCCCGGGTGAACTATGTGTCAGAAGCCAATGTGTAATGCAAGGTTCAAATTAACCACCAAAAAATTTTTTATTCCTGTAGATCATAAGATCATTTGAACTGATATTCAATTTGGCACTTAATTAATTTATTCATTGGTACTCTTGCAACTGATATTGCACTATGGAATAAAGGTTTGTGAACTTTACGGATTACCATGAAAGCGAGGAGACCAATCGGATCATTGACAAGAACGGGTACAGGTCACTGCTTATGTAGATGATGATGGAGACATTTTTATTGTGGATCGCATCAAAGAGTTCATCAAGTAAAAGGGCTTTCAGGTAAGCTCAAGATTTTGACATTTTGTAGGGAAAAAAAAACCTTTTTTGGTTAGGAGTTTCAGTGAACAAAACACGACAGCAGTAGCCAACATCATAAGGGAATCATAGCGCAAAAGCACACTGATAACTGGTAGGCTGTTTTTCTGATTTATCATTTGGTTATGAAATTAGCTGTTGTGCTGTAAAATTGTCAGAATGATGAAGGGTATAGGCAAGTTAAATTGTTTAATTAATGTTTCATAAAAGTTTTGAGAGAAATAGGCAATATATACATTCAGATTGGAAGAACTTTGCTATTGAAATCAAGTCCCCAAGGCCCCAACAACTAATCTTGTCTATAGAAGGTTAAGGCTACAATTAACAGAGTTTTGAACTCACAAACCACACCAACCAAGCTAGAGGCTATCCTCCTGTTTCATCCCTTAGTTGAAGATGCAGCCTAAGTATATCGTGCCGCCGGCGTCTGTGCAATTTGATTGATTCAATGCAGTTCATAATCATAAAAATTCTTCCTGGAATTTTACAAAATGTTCTGTAACTGCAGGCTGCCTGAGGAAGAGGCAGATGAAATCTCAGCTACATGTGTTGTTATGAACCCAAGACATCGTGGTCAGGTCCCAGGTTGACGAATTTGATAAGAATTTGCTCAGCACTAGACCAGTGCACCCTTTGGGGTGAGCACCATGACGTAAAGAAATGGAACCCCTCGAGAAACAAGTATCATACTAAAAAACATAGTAGTACATAAAAATTATTGTTTTCTGCGCAAAGGGTCTCTTAAAACAACAGTTTTAGCCATGCGAAGCCGCTAAACCACGTTCAAAAGACACCCCCACAAAACGAAAAATGTCAGCGTGAAATTTAGTTTTAATTTTAACCTCATGAGCTCACGTGGGATCATCTGAATTTTAATAATGTTGAGATCATGCAGCTTCGTTTTCTTTTAAAGAAAAAAAAAAGTTAAAATTAATGTTTGAGCTGATTAATTTACTAAAATGCCAACTTTGGTCCACTCCACACCGTATTGATCCTTATATTATTTGGTACATAAAAATTTAGATAAAAAACTATCTTATTTTAAAATTTAGGTATGTCTCATGTTTCAAAAAAATTTATATTAAAATTATATATTATAAAAAAAAAACTGATAACAACAAAAATCTTTTTTTTTTTTTTGCCAAATCGAAGTTAAATTTTAACGAGTTTATTCTTGAAATTAACTTTGATCATTCAATTTTCATTTAAAATAGTTCTACATGACAAGATAATTTAATTTTGAAACAATGTAAGGAAAGTTTCATAAAATTCACCAAAATCAACATGTAGCTGTAAAATTAATTAAAATAACAAAAAAAATATGTTTGAATTTATGATTAAAAATAGATATAATAATGATTATTTCATTAAAAATAATCGACTTTTATATTATTTTCTTTTTAATTTTATATTAAAAGCAATCAATTATCATTGGATCCAAAGATTCAATAAACTTTTGAGTGCTGTTAAATGTATTCTCATTTTTTTTCTTCGCATTTAATGTTGTTTTAAAATTTTTGTACATTAAATAATTTAAATACTCTTATCACAATTTTTAGTAATTTTATAACTTTTTGAAATTCAGGAAAGTTATATAATTTTTTAAAAATGCATTTTCAAAAGATTATAAATTTTTTCGAAAATTTATCTTTAATAAAAATTTATTTCCATGAAGGTTTATAATTTTTCGAAATTTTATTTTTAAAAAATTATATAAATTTTAACAAATTTATTTATGAAAAAAATTATTTTTGAAAATTTATAAAAAAATAAATAATTTTATTTACAAAAAATTAAAAAAATATATGAAAAAAGAAGAAGAAAAGGCTGAGGTGTCTTTCTCCGACTGAAGGCTCAGGAGCAGTGAGATTTTTTGTCCTCAACACCATGTAGGATGTTTATCCAAATGCACTAACATCTCACTTGGAGACAAAGACTAGCTTGGATTTCATCGCATTGAATTGTCTCCAAGTCGAGTCGAGTCCACTGCAGTACCGAGTTGATTCGGTTACGGGTCGGTTGAAGACAATTCGTTCCCCGCCCTGGCCCAGGCTTGGCTGTCTGGCTGGCTGGCTGGCTACCTGTCATTGACAAGAGCAAGGTCGCCCTTTCAATACCGTCCAAAAAATAATATAGCCTGAGCAAGTTGCAGCCAATTTTATACCGACACGTGTCCTTGTTTTATAATTACTACCTGTTTTCTGCAAAAAATTGAAAGAAAATTAATTCTTCCCGAAAAGCTATGCTTTTTTTGGCCTTTTTTTTTTTTTTTTTCTCTTCTTTATTTTCTTGTCTGTCCCTCCATTTTCAGACTCTGAAAGGCTCAGACTCGGCTTTGGGCTGTGCTGTGTCTTTATCTCCTTTCCTTTTCAAGCTCTTAACTTTTCTCTGCTTTTTCTCTGACACCATTTAAGGACCCATCGGTAAGTAACTCACCAATAATTTCTTCACCTTTGTTTTTCTCTTTTGTTCATTTTTTTTTTAATCTCGCCGTAAAAAAAAGGAAGAGAAATACAGACTTTTTTATTAATAAAGAGAGTAATAATGAGGTACTGGAATTTCTAAAAATGGGAAACATCTCTTGTTTTTGCGGCTCAGATTGAAACACCAGTTTCTTCATACTTCTGTTATTATTATTATTATTGTGTGAATTTGTTTGAAATATAGAAAAGGTTAAAAGAATTAAGACTATTTTTTTTTAGTTTGCTTCCTCTGCTTTTGTCGTTATTAATTTTCTGGGGAAAGTGAAAGAAAGCGACTAATTTTTTTTTTTGTCAAAAGGGCTCGTTTTTGGTTTTGGCCCTTTATTTCTAGCTGAAATCTAGGCAGAATTTATCAAATCTTTAAAAACAATAACGATGTGATGAGTGATACCTATAAACGGGACCAGTTACTTTCTAAAAATTTATTCTTTAATGATTTCTAGAAGTTTTTCGAAGTAAAAAAGACAAATTTCAGATTATTTCTTTGTTCTGTTTTTATTTCAATGCAAAAGCAAAAATTTCATTTTTGGGGAATAAATTTATTTCCTGTACTGATTTCTTTTTTGTTGCATTTGTGGTATTTGTTGATTGATTCTTTTTTTTTTTCTGTGGGGATAAAAAAAATGTTGCTGGGATAGCTTTTCTTTTTTAAGGCTGTAAACTGTTGAATTTGTTGTACATTAGGGTTTCTTTGAATTTTTTACAGTATTTGATTAGTCGTTGTGGGTCTCAGTCAAGTACCTACTTTTAGGGATTGCTCAGAGAATTGAATGTGAATTATCCAAGGTGTGAAGGTTTTTAGAGTGCGGTATGGCGAGTAACATCAAAATGTGAATGTTCTTTTTTCCTTTTCCCTCTACTTTTATACCGTTACTACATCCTAGAATTATTGGAGAGAGAGACAGAGAGAGATGATTTTCAATGCTGTGGAAACCGGGTAGTTAGTTTCACTTGGGTTGATAGATTAGGTTAAGTTCTTCTAGGATTTTGGTGGTGGGATTTGCTGCAAGTGTTGCAGGTTTAGGGAACAGCTTATATATTTTTGCTTGGGATTGAAGTGGTACTTTTGATCTTGATGTTGTAGGCGTATATATGCACAAGAGCGAATAGAGAGATCGATTGGAATTATGCTGTCAGCTTGTTTGTAATGAAAGGAGGAGTAAAGCTTTACTGCTACTCTTGTTCCAAATTGGCAAGGTCTAATATATGACCTTTATTGTCTTTGCTTAGGCTTTCTGTTTTAGAAGGATGGACATTGATATCTGCATAAAAATTGCTTGGCTTGAGAAGTGTTTGCTCGTTTAGTTGAACCTCTCCGGTACTCTGGTTGGAATTTTTTGGAGTGAAGTGGATTTGAAGTGGCATCAGTAAACCTTTTTAGTGTAGAATTGGAGGAGTGAACAAACTCATGTTTTGTCAAAGTGGATTGACAAATTTGCTAATTTGCCCCCCTCTAGTTCTGAGAAACATGGATGGTTGGGCTCTGATGCTGGAGATTTAGCGGTAAGTTTTGTTCTTGATATGCCGGTATTAATTTTGCTTATCTTTTGTTTTGTATGCTATGAATCTGTAGAGTCCACAAATGGTCTCCTTCATATATAGTGTTATAGAATTTAGCATGATTGAATTTTTTTTTCTCATGGTATATTTCCTCTATGAATTGAACAAGCCTCTAGGTTATATTTTCTGGATCTCTTGACAAAGTTGCTTTGATTTTATTGAATAAGATTGTATGAAGCATTCTATGAGTTCTATCTCTCTGATGGAGTGGAACGCCAAAACCCCCTTGCAATGGGACTGGGAAAACCTAATGATGTTAAATGCGACACCAACTGAAATTCCAAGGAAGCTAACACCCATAGAGTGGGATATTGATGGTGAGGGAGGAATGGACTATGGGTCTCTCTATTCTTCTAGTGCTGCTGGAGGTAGTGGTGGTTCTGGTTCAGATTTGGGCCTTGCTTCATTGTCTAAAAGTTCCAAATCGGCATCCATTAATTCTTCATCTATGGGGGAGGTGAAAGCGACCAAATTTACTTTGGAGACCTTTGAAGCTGTCCCAGATGATATTAGCAACAAGAAAGAAGTTTCCAAGGTTGAGCTGACTGGTACTTCCCCAACACTTGAGGCTACAGTTGGCTCTGGTGAACCCTTACTTAGTTTAAAGCTTGGTAAACGATCGTACTTTGAAGATGTTTGTGCAGGAAGCAATGCTAAGAATTCATCTTATTCTGTGAATCCTGGACCATCTCCTATCCCAGCAAAGAGATCCAAACCCATTTGTCAGAGTACACATGTTCTGCGTTGCCAAGTCGAAGGCTGTAACCTTGACCTCTCATCGGCTAAGGAGTACCATCAGAAGCACAGAGTTTGTGAAAGTCATTCAAAGAGTCCAAAGGTCATTGTTGGTGGTCTTGAACGCCGGTTCTGCCAGCAGTGTAGCAGGTGAAATTTTTTCTTGGTTCTGGTGATTTTTACATTGGAAGTTGATTGTTTCCAAAAAATTTTCTTTATCGATTATGTGCTACTTTTGCATGGTGATGTTCTAATTATCTTAGTATTAAACACTTGAGGTCTCTTGCTGATGGTAGTAGTTTGATTCCTTATTCCTGAGCCAGTGATTCTATTTCATGTTGAAATCATTATTATGTTGTTCATGATGTCAAAGGTTCCATGGCCTGTCAGAGTTTGATGAAAAGAAGCGAAGCTGTCGTCGGCGCCTTTCTGACCACAATGCAAGGCGCCGCAAACCACAGACAGAAGCAATCCATTTCAATGCTGCGAGGCTTACATCATCATCATATGGTACTGGTTTCAGACTTAAGTTCGATATGTTTTGTGCATATAATTTTTGTTGTAGGCTACTATAACAGGAATTGACCAACTGAACACTTTTTCATTCTTCTTTCTTTTAATTCTCAAATTATGGAGTTGAGTGATTCATTAACTGTCAAATCTGGATTTTTTTAATTCATTACATTATTCTCCTATAAATAGTGCTAATGACTCAATGGTAATAGAATATCTTGATATATATTGCTTATTGGTTGCATGTCAATTACATCTTGAGTGATTCCTTAACTAAGTTGTATCTCTGTTTTTTTCCTCTTTAACTTGTACTCCTATTAATGGTGCATGCCTGGGTCCAAGTGAATGGTGCAATAGTTTCTTCTTTTTTCTTGTATTAATATGTTTGACACCATTATTTGCAACTAATAATATATAATAATTTATATAAAATTTGAAAATTTCTGACCTGGAAATTGGTAAGTTAGAAAGTCTACAGATAATGATATAGGTTTATGATTCTTCTTGAATTCCTATCATGCAGTTCTTGATATTTGAATGCCATTTAAATGTCCACTTAGATATTATGGGAGTTAAGTATCTCATGCATATTATGTATTCTCTTTGCATATTTATATTCTTTAATTTAATATAATCAAATAGTCTGGGGAAGATTTACACCGTACTTTATTGGATGGCATGCTTCTAATATAATTGTTGTTCCTCCTTTCAAGTCCTCACTTGTTTGTTAGAAATATCTGAGATTGTCTGCTAGCATCTCCGTCTGTTAGCATCTCTTAACTGAGTACCACCTGGTGGTCATGCAAGACTTGCAAGTATGATATATTTCAGGACATGCTAATGTGTGAAGCTTGATAAGTTGTGCCAATGCTTGTGCAGATGGAAAGCAACAGGTGGGTTTTGTCTGGAATAAAGTGCCGTTTCTTCATGCTAGGCCTAATGAAGATTTTACATGGGAAGGCACTTCTGACTTCAAGTCCCCTCAATTTAAAGGTTATACACCTGCAAAAGTTGGAAACGTCAATGGACAGTTGCAACTGCCAGGCAATCAGCTGTTGAATTCCATCACGATGCAATGTCATGATTCCAATACATGCCTGCCCGCCAAGGGCAAGCACAGTACAACTGCGGTTCTCAACCAAGGTTTGTTTAGTTTTTCTCACTAGGAAATAAGTATCATATGCATTTGGTTTATGATGGTTAACAAATCTTATCTGGCATCTTTTCTACTGCTTTAAGAAAATTATTCTTGTATTTCAAATATCCTTGTACTACAAAGCTTTTCCTAAACACATTCGGATATCATGTGATGATTTGTTTACACTGGAATCTGGTGGATTCCAGAAATAAGATGCATAGGGAGAAGTGGCAATAGATGTTCGATGATGAAAACGCAATTTTCTATGAACAGTCAATGTAAATTAAAGTGGCATGCTGTCCTCCATGGAGCATGGAGTAATGCTACTTGAGGGATCACATACATACCTAGGGGAAAATGTTTTAATTACTTTAGGTCTTTGGCTTGGAAAACTTTTTCTGGAATATAATACATAAACTATAGAAAGATGTATAATTTTAACTTTGCTGAAGGGAGTTACATATTGCTGATCCCAATGAGAGATAAGTCGCCATGCTGAAGATCTCTCAGGTTTGTAAAAATGATCTTTCTGTACTAAACTGATGATTGATTTTGTCAAATTTTTGTAGGTGTAGAAGAATCCACAGTTGCTTCAAATATGGGTACGACGCAAGATATTCATCGTGCTCTCTCTCTTCTGTCAAACGATACATGGGATTCTTGTAAGCCAAAACATGGTTCGCTTGCCTACTCCATGCATGCTAATCCTGCCACAATGTCTCAGCCAGCAATGAATGCAGTTTCGCAAGGTTTTCCTCTTGCCTTATCCGAAAACTGGCTGATGGAACAACAGACAGCTGAATCCCAAGCTCATAAAGCCTTGCATAGTGATGGTGACAACCATTTCCAAGAGTTCCAGTTGCACAAGGCTTCGTATGATAGCAGCTTTTTTTCCAATCAGATTAACTGACTGCACAAATTTGGATAAGCTTAAATATATATAAATTCCTGTCCAGGTATTCCATTGTTAAAATTATTTACTGAGAATTCTGGCTGTGTCGTATGGGTGACAAGAGGCCATCAAAATCATTTGCTATTAATTTTTTGCTTTTTATTCAGTTCACTTTTTGTTAAAAAAAAATACCAAAAAAGAAAAGAGAAGAGCATTTATCCAAAGCAGCACTACTAATCGACGTAAATGACTAGCACTGTCATGCCTGCGAAGTTTATTGTGGGTCCAATATCGTTGCATAGAAGCTCAGCTGGTGAGGTATAGCATACGATGCGTGCAGAGTTTGGTGCAATTTGATAGGAGATTTTAGACCTAGGAGTATGAAATCAATCAAAATTCAAAATAAACTCTTAATGATTTAGGATTATTTAATCAATCACAATTCAAAACTGTTGTGTTAGATTTATTGCAATTTTATATTAAGTTCATTTGTAAATGTTAAATTTTTACATAATTTTTTAGTGCGAAGATTATAATTAAAAAAAATGTTAAACTAAAATGCAACCAATGACCTCTTGTATTAAAATATTAAGAAAAATAATGTTTATAACAGCACCGGAACACTCGGTTTCAGTCACAAGTTGATAGTGGCACTAGATGACCAAATGGCTGTATGCCCCATAGAGAAAGATTAATCAGGTGACCATTGAAATATGCACGCATGAATTTAAATTTCAAAGTGCTTTTGCATGATCAGTCAAATGTCGGGCGAAACATTATTTTTGAAGATAAAAAAAAAAAACATAAGATGCTGCCCACATAACTACTTAAAACTATAAAGACTTGGTACTGCTATTCATTGCCCTTATGATTTTTACTTTAATGTTTAGGATCATATGGTTACTTGAGGTTACGACCTTGGTGTTTGCAAAAAAAAAAAAAAATACACGAAAACAAAAAACAGAAACAGGCTAAAAGATGAAAACACACACTTAAACTATCGTAGGGGAGTCGTCCAAGAAAAGCAGTGCTTACATTGCAGACAGAACTCATAACACCTATAGCCGGCAACAATTCAATCATGACCAGAAATGTCGATAACACCAACACAGGTTTTAAATTGGCAGCTTCATTAACTTAACCAAACCTACATTTTCTCGAAAATTGAGGGACTTATGCAACGTGTAATACTGACAAGAAACCAGAGTTCGCAATTAAAGATCACCACCCGCCAATGATAAGGGATGAATACTTGCTACATAGAGCAAAGTTGACCAGATTACTTTTAACACCAATGCCAACAGGAGACTAAGCACCTATGGTGGTGCAAAATAGGATACACAGTGACCAATCATATCTCCTGTAACTATCCTATCGGTCAATGTGTAATTTCTGAAAGATATAGAGAAAATCTCTCAAAATCACAGAAAATGTTTAGACCATGTCACAAGCAAAAACACGACATGCAACTGTCCTCTACTTCCTATAGTCAAGCATGAAAACAACTGAAGATATTTCCCACTCCCTGCATTATGTGACAATAGATCTAATTAAACATTGGAAGATGAGAACCTCGTATGCTTCTAACAGAGGCTTTCTGTTGAAACAATGAAAACTCAACACAGACGATAGAAAACTGAATGAAAACCAGAAAAGTGCAACCTGTAGTTTCCTTTCCCCACTAGCAGCATATCTAAGTCCACAATAACATCCTCACTAGAATAGATGAGTTTATTCCAAAGTACAAAACCTACCTAACAGAAACCAGAAACAACCTGTAAAATATTTTCCAGATTAAGATGGCTGACACATAATGCACCAATGATCCATAAAGACCACAAATACCATGGCATTAATACAACAACCGGACACTGATCATGAGAAGGTAGAGTAACTTGACAACCGCTGCAACATGAGGACGACAAGACTGACTTTCAGACACCCATATTGAGCAATGCTGGACGACAACTCTGGACCTTCTCAACCCAAACATGTCCTAGTACTCACTGGAACAGTAGACAATTGCAAATCAATGGAAAGAAAGAAAGAAACTAAAAGTAAAAAGGCAACATTCAAGCATCTGTTTACTATAATGCAGAAAATATAGTAATAGTTTAACACACACAAGGTGAAAGAGAGAGAGCGAGGAGGTAGCCGAAAAAAATCTTTAACTAGGAATAGTTTGAAGTATTGAAAGCTTATAGAATTCTTACCGAGTACAAATATGATCAACAGAATCAATAACTTCAAGTAACAAACTAGATGACAAAGAAACTGCATCAGACCACGAACCTGATCATTTTCATTAGCTGTTGGTGACGGGGACTTCTTTGACTCGGCTGGTTTGTCAGCCCCACAATTTTGTCTGTTGCACTTTGTCCTAAAAGGATAGTTAATATTGCTACATTTCTCACACTTCCAGCTTCCCTCAGGCATCTTTTGTTCTGAAAAGAGTGAAATACATATGTATAAAATTTTAAACATATGACATGATATTTTACAAATTTAAAAGAACTTACTTGAATTTTTATCCGATTTTGGAGCCTGCATTTACAAGAGAATATCGTTATAAATCAGACAGATTCATAATCACAAGAAAAAGTAATGCAGTATTTCATGAATTTTTCAGTTTTCAAAGTACCAAAGGCAATTTAAGTCACAAAGAGAAGCTATGTTGCATTGATATTATTAAATATATAAATAAATCTACAAAAACCTGAGATCCAGGCTTAGGTGTGTTGCATTTCCGCATGTTACAGACAGTTCTGAAGGAAAAGTTAATATTCCCACATTTTGGGCATGTCCAATCATTATCACGCGTAGCATCTGGTGAGGATTAGATGAAAAATTAATCAAATTATTGGATGATAATTGCTGTAATGCCCAGATAATAGTTTCTTTGTACATGAACAGTAGAGATATGGCATACCTAAACCCTTTTTCTGTGATTTATCATCTGGAAAAAATCCTGGCCTTGGTCCCTATAGGTTAAAAATATATATTATATCATAAAGTTTGACTTACATATAAGACAATGTAGCTCCACCAAAAGTAAAAAAATATTAGATGGTCCAAAGAAAATAGGAAAATTTCAGAACCAATCCACAGCATGCCTATTGGTGGTAAACACATGCTTTTGCGGCATGTCTCTAAAATCAAATACACCTAAGAAGGATAGGATGCATACTCAATAAAGAATTGCTAGCTGTCAAGACATTAAGTAAATCAAGTTCACAATTCCAAACCTAGAAAATGTGCAATTACAACATAGATTATATGGTCCAGAGAGAATAGGAAAATTTCAGAACCAACCTGCATGTCTCTAAAATCAAATACACCTAAGAAGGATGGGATGCATGCTCAATAAAGAATTGCTAGCTGTCAAGACATTAAGTAAATCAAGTTCACAATTCCAAACCTAGAAAATGTGCAATTACAACAAAGAGAAGTGACACAAAATGCTAAACTTGCAACCTTAATTTGACAGTCCTAACAAAGGGTGGTCTCAAACTAGCATTAAACTTCTCAACATACCATTGGAGGTGGGCCCATGGGCAAACCCAAGCCGTAACGGTCCATCAAAGGAGGCATACCATACATCCCACCTGGAAAAGAAAAATTAACTACTTAATAATGCAATACTAATAGCATACTTAAGGTAACCCATATATGCATAGGGATGGTTGGGAATATTTTGCAGATAAGAATGAATTATGATCAATTTGTGGTCTTGGTCAACAATTTAACTTGCCAGAAAATACAAACAGGAGAATAAAATAAGTAAAAGGTGGGAAAAATAATAGCAATTATAGACTGGAAAAGGCAAATTACCAAGACCATTTCCAATCATCGACCCACTAGAATAAGGGGGTGGTCCAGAAATATGCAATGGCCGATAGGGACTGCCACCAGAAAGACGACTGCCATAATTGTAATGATAAGCTGATCCTCCAGAAAAAGGAATGTCATATGGAGGAATAGAGGAACCATTAAAGAGGGAAGAACCATAAGGTGGTACGCCCAGATACATTGAAGATGGTGCACCAGGACCTACATAAGGAGTGGATGACGAGTAATTCTGGGGGACTTGCAGAGGCTTGGCTGCAGATTTCTGCAAGGGAAAAATTACCAACTTAATTTTTGAAAAACAATGGGAGAAAAAAATATATAAAGAGGGGTTAGTATCTAGAGAGATAAACAAACAAATAGAAAAAGCTCATGATCAATAGATATATGAAACGAAAACAGAGGACATAGAAAGACTAAAGCAAAGCATAGAGTGGGGTACTACACAACAGTCTCTCCAATCTTTTTCCTCTATATCAGCTCAAAACCAAGTATTAAATTCATTAATGCAACTTGCTATGCCATGTATTTTTAAGTTATTGGCTCTTCTATTACTCATAGTATGGAAACAATTTCAATCTGGAAATTAGTAAATCAAAACCCTATGAGCCAAAACTATAACAATATACAATTCATCCATATTCAAAAGTCAGGAAATGTTTTAACACACTGACACATGGACATCTTAACAGAGTCAGAATGGCTAATACAAATCAAGACTTACTGAATTATGATCAGCTGGCCTGGGTTGAGTGCAATTGCGCATATTGCAAGTAGTCCTAAATGAAAAATTGACATTCCCGCAACTTGGGCATGTCCAATCATCTTCCCTACGACTACCTACAAATTTACCAACAATATTTCAACATTGCCAAAATTAAACACCAAAAGGTACACAGAATTTAATACAAATAACTGTCATACCATCTGTTCTAGCACGTTTGGCTGCTGAAGAGTTTCTGTTATCAACCTGAAGCACCAAAAAAAAAAGAGATAGAGATAATCACATTAAACAATGCCCCTAATTTCATGTAATAATTACAAAGCAATATTTTACGAAATTTAATTCACCTTCTGAATAAAAATTGGATAATTGGGCAATAACAAAAAGTATTCGAAAAAACCCTAGCTTAGCTTGGGGAATTGAAATTCAAGATAATTATAAAATTTGATCAATTAGGGTTTGGATGCATAGATTAAAAAATAGTGGAAATTGAGAGAAACGGAAGAAAATAATACCTGAGACATTGAGGCGGCAGCGATTGGCTGAGATAAGGGCTCTTTTCAGTTTAAAGATTCGAAGTAGAAGAGAGAGTGTGTGGGATTTGGGACTTTGCCCTATAATGAAACGGCGGTGACGGGCTTTAAACACAAGGGTGGGGGGATTTTAAGTGTGAGGGATGTAATCAAAATTTTCGTTTATAAACGCACGTTGCCGTCTGATGTTGACGGCGTTTAAACTTAAGGTGATTTGGATGGTCCTAGTTTTTGGACTTGGTGGGCCCGATGTCCGTGTGTCGATACACTATAGCACAGACTTTTTTCTTTTTCTTTCTCTTTTTTTTTTTTGCCAAATAAGAAAGCAAAATAAAAAATAACTTTTGAATTAAAATTAAATTATGACTCAAATTTTATTATTTCATTATAATTAATTAAATTTTAAATATATAATTTTATTTAATTATATTTTTATTTAATAAAAATTAATCATATCATTCTCATGATTGTGATACATAGAAATAAAAATTCAAATACTACCGCTTACATATTTTTAAAAATATTTAAATATTAATAAAAACGGTTTAATTCGATCCAATAAAGAATTTATTAGCTTTTTATTGACCCAAATAGATCACCAATCCCTCTACCAATCGGTTCAATTTTTAAAACATTTATCATCCTCTAGTAATGGTGCAATAAGTAAAATTACTTTCTTTTTTTTGAATAATTAAGGAGTTTGGTTGCCCATGTATAACATTGAGCTAATTAACATTAATCATAATAGTAATTTACAATATGTTCTTGTAGGCTATTGAACAATTATACAATTTAATAATTGTTATTTTTTTTTTTTTATAAACGAGATCATAGTTTGAGGATAAAAAAATTATAATTGTTAGAATTTAAATTTTAAATTTATTAAATATTATATCTTAAAAATAATTGTATAAATTAATTGAATTAAATTATAAATTTAGTCAATATTAATCTTAATTAGTGGAGATTAATAAATTTTTGGATGAAACATTGAATGACAGTTTCACACATATTCACTAGTCAATTACCTAGGACTAGAGAAAAATTATGTCAATGAAAAAAAAAAAAAAAGGCTATATGAGAGAATTAAAAGTGATAATAATTTGAATCTGATTTAATTTTTTAGATAATGCATATAATTATAAAATTTTAAAATTTAATCAAAATTTAAATTGAATTTTTTATACTATCCGATTTGGTATGAATCGAATTAAATCATAATAATTTGGTTCGGTTTATCAAATTTTAAATTTTATTTTTTTATTTTGTATATATTATTTTTAATATAATTTAAATAGACTTAGGTGTAAAATAATTATTTTAATTTTATAAACATTTAATGTAATAAAACTAATAAAAATACATAATTCTATTCAATTTTATTTTATTTTTTCAATTTTTTATTTTTTGATTCATAATTTTATCTAAACTTAATATATATTTAATATTCAAACTTAATAAAAAATGAGTAAAAATTTGATCCGAAACAAATAAATATTATAATTTTAAATTTTTTTCTTATCCTAAAGAGAGTTGAGTAATATAACTCATTGGGTTCTCATTGAAATTTTGAAAATTAATTAGTATTGAAATTCTGAAAATTAATTAGTTTTGTTGAAAATAATGTTAGAATTTTATTTACTTTTGTCCCTCTTAATAATTCAAGAAGATACAAGTAAATATAGAAACTCTAGTACAACAAAAATAGAAGGTACACTCGTACACAGGAGATTATTTTAATATAATAATCGAGTAACAAGTAAATTAAGTTAACTGACTGTATTTTTTTTACTTTTTTTTTCTAAAAAATATAAGATATTTTTCACACAATTATAATGAGAAAAAAAAAAAAAGGAAAGAAGAAAAAATGAATGCTTGTAAGTTAAAAGAATTTTCTTGAACTTTTTTTTTCTTGTTTTATTATAAAAATATTTTCCTTTAGTGAAAGAAAATAGATATCAGTATATTTGTCTTTTTATTTTTTATTTAAGAAATTATAAAATAAAATTTTTAAATTTAATATAAAAATAAATTTTATTATATAATAAATTAATAAAATTTATTATTATATTAAGAATTAAAAATTATTATTATTTTATAATTTAAATTTTTTATTACGTATAAATTTTAATTTAATATTTTTAATAATAATTTTTCTTTTTATTGTAATTTATCTCACCTCAATCGGTATATTTACATTCAAATGTATATTTTTATCATTAATTTTAAATTTACCATTACAATAATCAATCTTGATAATTGATAGATCTGCGTCCGAGCCATTTGCACTAAGACAGCTCACGAAATTATTATTATTTGGTTAAATTGTTTTATTGAATCTTATACTTAAATAAAGTTATAAATTTAGTCTTATAAATTTATTTGTACAAATAAAATCTCTCAATTTTTATGAATTGTAAAAATTAGTATGATTAGTAGGTTAAAATACTAAAAAAAATTTTAAATTATTTCATATTTTTTAAATAAATCTTATTTTTATTATATTCAATAAACTTTTTATCTTTTAATTTATATTCAAATAAATTATATTTCAAAAAACTATTTATTCATATTAAAATTTTATTTAAATACAAATTAAATGTTAATAATTTATTTGAATACAAATGAAAAATTAATTATTTATTTAAATTTAAATTTGAATTAAAATAAAAAAATTATTTGTGTGCAATAAATTTATAAAAATTTACTTAAGTAAAATAACAAAGTTAAAACTGTTTTATGTTATTTTAGCCTAATTAATAGGTTAGAAATGTATAACCTTCATATAAAAAAAATTATACTTAATTTGGCATTAGGTTGCAAGAATATTTTTTGGCGAAAAAATTATCACCAAATGTTTTTTTATTTTTTTTTCAAAAGCAAATGTTCTTTCTTAAGTATTTTTATTCTTTATTTTCCATATTTATATCCAAATATACAAGTAAAGTGAGTAAGGATTTTAGATAAAAAAAAGTAAGTGATGTCGTAAAAAAATTAATGCTTGTTGATTTAAGTAATAAAGGGATTAATTTTTTTTAAATAAAATTTCAATTTTAAATTTTATAAATAAAAAAATTTATTTAAAAAAAATTATTTTTTTATAAAATAATATTTTATTCAATTTCAAATTAATTAAAATTTAAAATAATTATAGAACACTGATATCTCAAAAAAAAAAAATAGTGATGACGTAAGCAAAAAACTGCTTGGGTTGAGGGAGGCAGCAGTTGGACAAGTGGTGTTTTGCCAATTCTATGCTAGCGCAGATATTCCCTTCTTTTTCTTTCCCTTTGCTTTCTCTCGAATCCTTTCCTTTTTCCCTTCATAATTCGCAATGTCTCCCCTTCTCTCTTCTTTCTGACTCTTTTCAGCACAACAACACTGCACCAAACAAACAAAATAAATCTATCAACAACTCTATACCACTATAATTTATGGCAATGGCTCACCAAAGTTCTGATCGCTTAACCTCTGCTGGTACGCGCCATTGAATCAGAATCTCCGTAAACGAAGAAAGAGAAAAGAAGCCTTCTTTTTAGGCTGTTCATTTTCAATATTGCTTCTACCATTACGGCTTTTTTACTTTTCATTTAATTTTTCTTTATTCTTGTTTGAATTTACGGAATTACCGACTGAGAAATGTAGAATCTATTGCGAGATTTTTGGCCACTTTTGAAGGATTTTATCGAAGATGAACATGAAAATAATTAATGTTTGGTAACAAGTATTATGGCATTTTTTTTAAAAGCCTATCCGTGTTTGTTTAACAGTTTATCCCTATTTGTTTCTGTTTAATGTTTGTCTATTATTCGTTCAATGTTTGTTTGGTTAATCAAAGATTTTGATAATGTTTGTGGAATTGTAGACTCCACGGAGGTATTGAACGTTCTGCTTCCGGATATCAACAACAACAACATTACTAACCCGAATGTGTTGACTAATAAGGTATATTGTTGCATGCACTGCTTCATTTTGTTGGTTGCCTTAATAAGGTATATCGCCATTTTTAATCTGCTGACTGTTGATAGTATCCTTTGGCCATAATTGAGGATATGGATATTTATTTATTTTTGCAGGATTTGGTTACTGTTGCTCATTTTAGGGACGGTTTGCATCAGTCAGGAGTCATGCCATCTGTGGTGGACTCTAAGACATCCTATTCCTCCCAGGCGCAGTTCTATGATGAAGGTTAGTTCCTTTGCATTTGTCATAAAAACTTTATCTTTTTTATGTAAATATAGATATTGATTATGTGTATGTTAATATATATATATATATATATATATATATATAGAAACCTAGGAATAAAGATGTACAAGATATAATGTTTACAACTTGTATATTTCCGAGGAAAGAGATATTCCTTCTTGAGCTGATTGCAAGGGAAATTTATTTTGCATTGAGCAATTTTTCTTCTTATTTATAAGTTTTGGACTTTTGGGCAGAGTGAGATCAAAATAGATTCAATATACAACTTGTCTAATCAATTGTGATGTGGGGAAGCTAGTGGTGCTATTTGAAGATAAGATTTATACATACAGTTCAAAAAAGAACTTCTTTGTCTTCTTTGTATAATTACTTTATGATTGCCATAGTGTTATCATTCACCCATCTTTGAATCTATAGAATTTTGCCATATTGGCCAATGATTGAGTAGAACTTTCATCGAATTGTCTCCAAGTCTGTAGTGGACTTGCCGGTTACTTCCAGGATGCTTTAATAGTTGCATGATTTTGGATCGTTTAAGGTTGATTTTTTTGTTAGTATTTAGAATGTAAAATGGCTTTTTTTTTAAGATTCCACTGTAGGTGACACAAAATTAGATGTAAGGCGTGACATGTAAACTATGGACTAAGGTTGCTTAGGCAGGTAGTTAGCACAATCATGGATGGCCGGATAATTCTTCTTTCTGTCACATGATACTTTTTCTTATTTTGCTTGTTACTCATGAAGTTATTGTTCTACTTGTGAGATGCAGCTCATAAACAGGATTCATTTCTTCCATATGTTAATGCTGAGGGCTTGGAAAATGGCTTTCATGTGTGTAAACCTCATATCTCTTCCTTCTCAATTAATGTTCTTTATATTCTTTCTGTCTATCATGTCTTATAAAGGCCTTTCTTTTTCTTCACCTTACGCAGGGCATCTACAATGAAACTGTATCTCTTGGATTTCATGGTTTTGGGCCTAACCCACAACTGCCACATAGACCTTATGCTCTGGTTTCATCTCATCTACCTCCCATTGCAGATCCTAGCTGGTTACCCAATGCAAGGCATTTCCCTACCTCAGATTCATCTTATCACCAGCCATCAGTTCCCCTAAATATCGCACATGTTACTTCAAATGCCCAATTTTCTCATCTAGATTGTCCTATAAATCTTGAGCAACAAGTGGATAGAAAAAGATTTGGGCTGAGACCCAATTACCTTCCTCAATCAGGATTGTATGGTGGAGGAAGCAACTTCTTTGGAAGCTCTGGCAAGCTTTGCTCCTCATACCAAGGGTTTGATGGGTCTGGGGCTGATGGAGTCAGTTTAGACTGGTCAAAGCATTTTAGTGGGAAGAGTTCTTTGTTTCAAGTGTTATATCCAGCAGCTTCTCCAAAACGAGTTGATTCACTAGAGTTCCCTTCAAATGACATTGGAATGGTTAGTTCTTTACCTATCACATATTTTAGGTTGTGGAAAGCTTGCTTTATTTGGAGAATTTAGATGGCCATGAAAAATTTTGGAACATTCATTCTATATTTTCTAGCAAGTATACATTTCAGCCATAAGCAAGCTTTATCATGATTGGAGTTAGGCATGAAGCCAAGAATACTTTCAACTAGTACTGAACTGTCTAATTGAGCTTCTCAACATTTTTTTTTTTGTGGGGGTGGGTTGGAGGAATTAAACAGGTCAGTGAACTTTAATCTTGGTACGATTAAATCAGTTATGTATGGAAAAATATCTCGTGCTCTGTTAAGTTGGCTTAATTTACACCTGTACAGAGAAAGTGGTTCTTATATTAATGATGTAGTAGGCTGGTGTAACTACCAAATTTTAGGGGGATCGGGGAAAGAAAATAAATCAGAGTGCAAATCCTAGAACTCACCAGCAGTTATAAGTAAACAAATTATTAATATCCCAATTCTGAGTTGTTTCTAATTAGTTTACAATTCAATAATATATTCAATGTGTTTGAAATTGATACGGTCAAGTTTGATGCTAGTCTATTACCTAACGATTAAATCTTATGCAGGCCTCTTTTCAAAAAAGATCATTTCAGGGGATTGGTTCTTGTTCTGGCTCTGGTTCTGGAGGCTACACTGCTAGCCAAAGTGATCAAAATTTTGGCTGTGGCAGTGTCTCCACTTCTAGTTTGGGAATAAATGGTCAGAACTGGCCTAAGCTTGATGAAGCAAGACGAAGTAGTTGTATTGACTTCTCATGCAGTTGTAATGTAACACTTGATACGCTAAGTGAGCATAACAGGGGACCTAGGGCATTTAAACCTAAAAGTCAGATAGCTACCAAAGTTTTTATTGTTGATAGCAGCAAGAATGGCACAAATAATGGCATTACCAATGGATTATACAATAGACAGAATTTTGTCACTGATTATGAGGGTGCAAAGTTCTTCGTGATCAAATCTTACAGTGAAGATAATGTTCACAAGAGCATAAAGTATGGTGTCTGGGCAAGCACCCCTATCGGCAACAAAAAATTGGATACTGCTTATCATGAGGCAAAAGCAAAACAAGGGACATTCCCTGTATTTCTCTTGTTTTCGGTAATTTACCTTACATTGCATTCTAGGTGTTGGATGGATTACAAGAAACACAAAAATTGATGCACAGTCATCTAATCTAACCTACTAAAATAATTGATAGATAGAATATAAATTACTGGTAATGCACTTTTAAGAACAAGGACTATGAAGTGGTGATGCATTTTAAATATTAAGTAGCAACCCTTACTACATAACCTTGCATTTTGCTTCTGGTTCACTAATCTAATCTACTAAAATAATTGATAGGTAGATTATCAATTACTGGTAATGCGTTTTTAAGAACAAGGATTATGAAGTGGTGATGCATTTTAAATATTAAGTAGCAACCCTTACTACATAACCTTACACTTTCCTTCTGGTTCATTTGTGAGCAAAGACCATAAATGAGCTTGAAATTACTTTACTTGCTCCTTATATGTTATGTATGCAGGTGAATGCTAGTGCTCAGTTTTGTGGAGTGGCTGAGATGGTGGGACCTGTTGACTTTGATAAAAGCTTGGATTATTGGCTTCAGGATAAGTGGTCTGGGCAATTCCCAGTAAAGTGGTACATTATTAAAGATGCCCCTAACAGTCAGTTCCGCCACATTCTACTTGAAAATAATGACAACAAGCCAGTTACTAACAGTAAAGATACTCAAGAGGTTAGGATTCATTTGGGATTTTCACTTTAGCCACTTTTGCGTGCTGATCTGATTCTTGGTGTATCTGGTTAGTGGTTACATTCAAATTTAGTGCCACTACAGCCTCACTTCATGGTTGTTTCAACTTGAGCTACTGGGGTGATTATGTTGGTCTAGAATCGAATTAGATTTGACCAAGCCTACATGAAACTTGTCTACATTTCCGCCCCAATTATTATTATTATTTTTTTGTAGTTCTCAAGTTATAGTCTTCCGAATTTTTGTTGCAATGTAAGTTGTATAATGGATAAACTCCAAGGCACTATGTACATCCCAGAGCTCCCTTGTTTCCATTTGAACAACTTGTGAGTAGTAATATATTGCATGCACATCAACTTGTTATGTTAGGAGCTATATATTGTGCATGCAAGCAAAATTGCACATACGATGCTGATATGTACAGACCTGATGATATGTCCTTCCTATTGTTCCAGTTTTCGCACCATTATACTTATTTTGTCTCACTGCTTAAATCAAGTAAGGTATAATCTTTCCCATCTTCCATTGCGACAACTATTTTAAATGGTGTCTTACACTGCCTCACACTATTGCAGGTCGAATTCGAACAGGGTATTGAGATGTTGAACATTTTCAAAAATTATGAAAGTCATTCATCCATCCTAGATGATTTTTACTTCTATGAAGAGCGGCAGAAAGCAATGCAGGAAAGGAAGGCCAGACAGCTAACTAGCCTGGTAGCTTCTCCAAATGATTTAGTTGGTGAGTCTCAGAACCTTGTGTCACTCCCTAATGTCTTCGCAAAGAAACTGTCTAAGAGCTTTGCTGAAGCTCTTTTGCTAAATGAGAACGAGAAAGCAGGTGGAGCAACCGGAAAGGTTCTCTCTACCGCCGGTGGAGGCCTTGGTGGATAACTGCAACGGCAAATTTGGCCTTGGTATGTGGTTATAGTTTATACCTATTACGTTTATATTGTGTTCTTTATTTGTTTTTTTTTTAATTATATTAAGATTTTGCTGCCCCACAAGTTTCGAGAAGGCTCCTAGTTTGGGTTAACTTGGTTTATGGATTTAATTTGTTTAGATAGAGATATCCTGAAGCAGTCCTATACATACACTCAGGTGATTGTTCTTTTTAAAAATTGTTGTTACCACATTCTTTTTAGTCGTTTTGTACCTTATCATACCCACTGTTGAAGCCTTCACAAAATTCATTAAAGCCGATGGGAGGTGTTGCTTATGACACTTGATGATGCGTCTAGTATATGACTTTAGGCTGGGTCGGGCTTATGCTCATATCTTCTTCCATCCCCCGACTTGACTCTCTTGACGTGGAATTTGAGTGAAAATTCTGGATCCAAGTCATGATACTATCTCTTATATATTAAAAAAATTTTGATTTGATTATTAGTGTGTAAATTGTAAAGGACCCACTTTCCACTAGTTACGGAAATTGTACAATTGAAGTCCACGATTAAATATCCCAAAACGTTGCCGTCCAGGATCACGATGACATCTTTTTTTTTTTTTTTCTAGAAATGATGCAAATATTGATTCATTGTTAATTTTTTTTTATATAAAGAAAATTATGATATGGGAATAAAAAAACGATTACTTATATTAAGATTTAAACTTTAAATTTATTATATATTATTTTTTTAATTTTAAATTTAATTTAAAGTCATTCAACTAGCTTTTAAGTTGGATCCAAAATCTAAAGTTCGTATACTAATAATTTTATTAGATTTTGGTAAGAAAATAATTGTGGAAAGTCGGGACTTTAGAGTGCTTATTTTATTTCTTTGTTTTGGTATGTAGTTGGGAGTTGCTTATAACATCAACGACAAGTAAATCCACCAGGAAATTTCTTAAGTTCACAAATAAAGTTAGGTATTGACCCATTCCATTTCCAAATCATCATCACATCAAAATTTCCGACATCTTCAAGCTTAACAAGACTAATAGAGTCCAAGTAACATTTCAACGCCATAATTTAGGGATATTATGACAATATAATAGGAATGATTTTTGTCATATAATAATTATGTTTTACGATTAAATTTTTAAAAATTTAATAAAAATAATATTATGACATCATTAAAATTTATTCTATCACATTATCAATGAATCCTAAAAAAAAAAAAAAAAAGTGGGCACTACGCCACAGAGAATCATCAGCTGGAGTGAGGACACGTGTAATCAAATCAAATGCATCTGATGGATGATAGCAAGCATTATTATTTACGAACCAACATCCTCAGACATTAATATGTAATCATAATTAAATTATTTCTCTTACTCTTTATTTGTTATGAAAGCGGAACCCGCTCGGAAACCAACTTACTTGGTCGATTTGATGGTTGGATTAGGATCGAGCAGAAAACAGGTAAAACCGGGCTATGCTTTTCACTTTTAGCCGTTGTTATTCAATGTTTTACTGTAGCATCTATTTGTATCTTCAAGTATTGGTTAACACATAAAAATTTTTTTATAAAATATTTTTAAATAAAATTATTTAATTAATTTTTAATAAATTACTTTTCAGTCATATTATACATTTATTTTTTTCGTCTTTATAACAAATCTTAAATCATTAAAACTATTTTTATTATTTTGTATATTATGACAATATATTCAAAATATAAAAAAAAAGGATGGAGAACAATGAATAAATTATTAAAATTATTAAAAATTTATATTTTTAAAAATTTTAAATTTTTATTTTTGTGAACTTTTAAAATTTACAAATTGATTATCCTTATTCAACAAAAATACTGAGAAAGAAATGTTTAGGTCGAACGATTAGAATTTTGGAGGAGAGAGGATAGCAAAAAATTTATCTTAGAGGTGAAAGTATGAAAAGTAAATAAGTTGTGAGTTTTAGAATTTGAATGTTTTAGATTCTCATTATATTTAAAAAATGGACCCCACAAAGATTCCATTGCGAATATCAAGGCAAGTGGGATTGATAAAATTATCAACAATAATTCAGACATTTTCTGCATGTAATTAGTTGCTCCAGAGTATGGCCCTGGTATATCAACGGTTTTGGTATTTTATCTTATGTTTAATCTTCAAAAATAAAATTCTTGAAGATAGCTAAGAAATATCTTAAGCCAATTTATAATATATCATTATATATATAAATATAGCTAAGACACAACGGATATAAATACGTTGACGATACCAATCCATTAATGTTAACTTACCTATTCAGGTTTTAACATAAACTTTAAAGCATGAATTGTTTGGCAGTATTTTTTTAGAAATAAAAATATAAATTATTTTTTAAATATATAAAAATACAAATATTTAATTGAACATAAGTTTAATAATTTATATATTTATTTTATATTCATTTTATATTAAAAATATATAAACTATAAATTTTATTATGAGATAATTTATATCTGAACACAAGTATAAAATATATTTTAATTTTTATATAAAATTATCTATTTATTTAAACGTCTAAGCAAAAATAAAATTTTTTTTTTCTCTCCTGATTTCCAAAGCTGCTCCACTCCGCGTTTGACTATATCTCCATGGTATCCTGTTTCATTCCTCCCCTTTTATATTTATATAACAAAAGCAAAGCATACTTTCAACTAGTGGAAAAATGAAAAGAGCAGAGACTGTCAAGAATCGGAGTTTCGCTGCCGACAAGAGATCTTTTTTTTTTTTTAATCTTCATCACAAATTTTAAACTATTAAAACTATTGTTATTATTTTGTATATTATGAAAATGCATGTTCAAACCGTAAAAAAAAAAAAAAAAAATCAATCGAGATGAAGAGCAATTAATAAAATATTAAAATTGTCGAAAATTTTATATTTAAAAAGTGTTTAAATTTACATATTTTTAAAATTTTAAAAACTTTAAATTTATATATCTTTCTTTAACTAAGAATTGAACGAGGAAAAAAAATTGATTGACAGATGAATTGGTTTAAGATTTGGGAATAGTTAAGAGAATGAAAGAATGAAATTAAAAAAATTATTCTTTCCGTTTTAAAATATTTGGATTGTATTAATTTTTATGAAATTTAAGAAATTTTTTTTTGATTTTAATATATTTAATATTAAAATTAAATTTTTTTTATAAAATTAAAGTTTTATTATTTTTAATATTAAAAAATTTTAATATATAAAAATGAGAGTTTAAAATATTAAACTCTTATTTTTTTAAAACATTTAAAAAAGAAAAAAAAAGGACAGAAAGAGTATAAATTTGGGGGTGAGTTGTGAAAAGTAAAAATAATATTGTCGAATTGAAAATTGAGATGTTAAATTAAATAGCCGTTGAGAGCAAATTTGTGTGGCAAATAGAAGTTCTCGTTATTATATAAAAAAGTATAGTCCCCAAAAAGACTCCGCCACCCAATCATCAATGGCTAAGATTGTGGGACATGATAAGATATTATACCAAATATTCTGCAGTAACATGCTTGCCACTCCCAAGGAGCCCCTGTAATGATTTTTTTTTTCTTGTTTTTTATCTTTGTCTTTTGTCTTTGTTTTTAAAAATTCAAAAATAAAAATTCTTAAAGTGTAATCAAATATCTGTGGGCCACTATTTATAAAAAAAATATATCTGTAAGACCAGATCATTCGTCGATGATAGTGATCCATAAATGTTTGTAGGTTTTCACATAAATATTTATTTGGAAGTATTGTTTTAGAAATAAAAATATAACCTATTTTTTGAATATAAAAATACGAAAATATTTACTTTAACTTAAGTTTAATAATTTATATATTTATTTTGTATTCATTTTATATTAAAAATATATAAAATATAAAATTTATTATGTGATAATTCAAATCTAAACACAAATATAAAATATATTTTAATTTTATTAAAATTTTAAAATTTTTTTATCACTATCATATCTAAAATTATCAATTTACTTCGACCTCTAGACAAAAGTTAAAAAAAAATAGTTTTCACTATATATTTCCCAAGTTGGTCTACTTTGTGTTTGATTATATGTTATAAATGGCCCATGAACTAAAGTGGTTTATTGGATTTGGCATCTATACTAAACTTTATTGGATTTGGCATCTAAACTAAAAAAATTACTAAATAAGTATTTGAACCATGAAATCGTATATAAATTTAGTTTAAAAATTAACTTCATTAGTTTTGATGTTGACGTGACTATTTTAGCTAATAAAAATGCACCATGTGGACACAAAATGATATTAAGCATTCTTATGTGGTTTATGTGGCTTATATGGCTAGAAAATTTGAAGAAAAAATTAATCACTAAAAAAAATTAAATAGGAAACATTTTAATTCCTGTAAACCTCAAACAAATCACCAAAATCCTAAACCCTAAATTCGCAGAACCTAAAAGAAATTGAAGCAAAATTGAAGCTTGTGAAGGGTTTGACGGGAAACTTGTGAAATTGAAGCTACAACCTTCATGAAATCAATGACAAATGAAGAAAGCAAAAAAGGTGAAAGAAGATATAAAGGTTATGTTGAAGATTCATCGAAGAGAAGTGGACATTTTAGGCAGTTATGATCAAGCTGTAGCTCAAGAATAAGAAATCATTTAACTTCAATCAATTGTTATTATAGAGTAATGGCTCAAATTTGTAGGTCAACAACATTGAAGAATTCAGAAAGAACATTTTATAGGGGTGGAAAAGTTCAAAAAAGTATTATTCACATTTGTTGATTTATATAGAATTGGTATTGTGTTGATGGATAAAATTGAATTTGTACCTGTTAACATTTTGCAATGTATGAATTGTGATTTCTTTCAATGGTGAAGATAAGCATTCATTGGATAGTGACAATGCAAATCAAAATGAGGAACAGAGATTTGAAGAGGACAAATTGTTGGTTGAGAACAAAGAGTTGAGGAAAGAAAATATTGCATTAAAGGAAAATTGCAATAATAATTAAGTTAATAGGCTTTTGAATAAGGTTTGGGTTGTGAAAATGAAAAAAATCATATAAGGATTTCATAGCAAAAGGTCAAAGACAAATATGGTATTACAAGATTGTGTTATTAATGTTTTAGATGGTGTTTTTCATTTTCATTTTAAGGTTTATTTTATTTTAGATTGAAAAATTTTAAGAATTTGTGAAAGTATTATATATTTTGTTCAAACTACTATAAAAATGAAGTAATGAAATGAAAGTATTGCTACTAGGTGTCTTGGTTTAGATCTTTCTAATATGTTACCAAAACTTGATGGTTTTGATTCTTTGAATATAAAAAATCTGCTAATTTTTTCCCTTTGTTTCTAGCCATTTGCTTAAATGTTTATGTCTTCTTATTGTAAGTTAGCTTAATTTCTAATTGTTTGTAAATTGTTTCCACATTGGCTATAATGTTTGTACCACCTGCTAAAGTATACTATTTTGTTATTATTTTTAATCCATTTCATTTTTCATAATTGAATG